AGCCTTAGTTTCTATAAACTACTTTAGGTTTGCATAATTAGTAAAAATCTTAAAATAGATACTTTTAAGGTAATATTGCTAATATTCTAAACTTTTAATAATAGCTAACAGTTCTTAGTTATATATATTATAATTGTACTCTGCTATAATAAGCTTACGCAAATAGAAGTTAACTAGGTACTAGTTATCTAGCTTAGGTAATTCTGTAATATATTAGCTTAGAATACCTAATATTATACCTCTAGATGCATTAACTTTAACCTTTATCTTATAGTCTCTTTTAAAGTAAGCTAAGATTAGTTTCTTTAAGAAAGAGTTCTTAAGCTTATAGAAAGCCTTTCTAGCAGCTTTGCTAATATCTAGAGACTAGCTCTTCTCTCTTTATATAGCGTAGCTGCCTCTAGCTACGCCTAAGCTTTTCTAGGTTAAAATAGTTAATAGTAGAGCTAATTTAGAAAAACTAGTAATAAATTAGTAATAGTAGTTTATAAAGCTAATAAATACCTAAATATTATAAACTATACGCAGTTTAGGCTAATTCTAGATAGTCTTAATATAGTCTTAGTTAATCTTAATTCTGTTAGGTATAATAATGTAACTAAGGTACTTAGTGCGTTAGGTATACTATTTATACTTACTAAGCTTTAAGTAAAGCTTAGCCTCGCGTAGTCTCTACAAGACTTTCTTAATATATACTTTATACTCTTTAAAAGTATTTAAGAAGATAAGAATATTATCTAAGTATATAATATATAATATATTAATTAAACTAATAAGAGTCTAGTTAATATACGCCTAGAACTAGGCAGGTATATTTATAAAGCTAAAAGGTATTATAGTATACTTAAAATAACTATACTAGGTGCAAAAAGCAGTCTTCTACTTATCTTCTTTCTAGATACAAATTCTGTAGTAAGCCTCTTACATATTTAGCTTAGTATAGTACTTAGCTTACGCTAAGTAGTCTAAAGACTCTATAATTAGAGGCAACAGGTGTCTATTCTTAATTATAATCTTATTTAAGCTATAATAGTTAACACATAGCCTTATAGAGCTATTCTTCTTCTTAATAAAAAGAATAGGTGCGCTAGCTAGCGACTTTAAGTATTTTATCTACTCTTATACTATATACTCTTCTAGGTACTTTCTAAGAAGCTCTAACTTAGTTTAAGAAAGATTATATAATAGTATATATAGTAGATTAGTTTTAGGCTCTAGGTTTAGAGCTAGGTCTTATAGGCTATATTTAGTAATAATTACTAAGTTCTTCTTAGAATAAATATTAATAAACTCTGTATATAGTAGAGGTATATTACTTATTTAAGCTAAGAATAGGTTATTCTAACTTACTGCGCCTACTAGACACATATATACGTCTGTACTAAGATTACGTATACTCTTTTTAAATAATTAGGCGTTTTCTACTATAATCTTTTAAAAAAAGCTAATATTCTTAGCTTTATCGCCTTTAAAGAGTATACGCCGCAAAGCGTAGTTTAACCTAGAGTTATAGTAATTAATCTATAGTAATTCTAAATACATAGTATACCTATTTAGGTTAGATACTATAAATAGAATACGCTGCGTCTTTACGCAGCTCTATAAATTAGTAATAGTAACGTCTACTTTAGTTATTCTATAAATAGTAAGCTTTCTACTATTAACCTCTTCTATAAGAAGGTTAGGTAAAGAATTAATAATTAATTTCTACTTCTTTGCTAATATAGTAGAGATAAAGTTTAGTTATAAACTACTATTAATTATTACCTCTTTAGGCTTAGACGTCTTAAGAGTAAACTTTACTATTAAGAGTTAGAATAAGGTAGGCTATAAGGCCTTGCGTAGCGTTTCTATATTCTTGTTCTTCTTATTTAGAGAGATGTAGGTAGCAAAGTAAGAGATTAATTCTTCTACTTCTAGTCTTTTCCTAACTTAAACTTATTAGCTAACTTACCTACAGCGTTAGACTTATTAGCCTTTAGGCATTTATTCTTATAATAACTAATCTTACTATATCTATAGTAGGTAATTTACTTTTTAGGTACGTTATAGTTATCTAAACTACTTCTCTTTAACCTATTCTAGACTAGCCTAGCGTGCTTAGCGCTTTTTAGAGGTCTGCTAGCACTCTAAATATTAGACTAATTCTAGGTAGGTTAGAGCCTATCCTTCTTAGAAGGTTGCAGCTTATTTTCTGCAATATAGAACTTTTACTAAAAAATAAGGTTAGTATATTCTTTTACTTATAGAAGTGTAGATTGCTAGTCTATAAAGAGTAAAAGTAAGCTCTTTCTAATATTATTCTGCAAGGCTGTAGTATACTCTAGTACTTATATATCTAGTATTTAGTCTAATCTAAGTTTCTTTTATAATAGCCTTATATAATCTAGAAAGTCTATAGAATTTTAATTACTGCGCTATATAGTACGCTTAAAGTAATTATAAGCGTATTACTTACGCTCTTATAGAGAACTAAGTAAGTTTAATATAATATACTTAAGGTCTACCTATAATAGTATCTAGGTAGAGTTCTAGTACTTCTCTAATACCTAATAAGCATACTATAGAGTCTTTAATAGCTTAGAGATATATATAGTACTAAAATCTACTCTCTATATCTTTATTATAAAGCTTTACAGCATATAAAGAAAGTATAACTTATAATTCTACTTTTAGTAATTATATTACACTTAGTTAGTCTTTAAGAATAACTATAGAGGTTTAGATTTTAGAAGACCTCTAGTTAAGAGAGTATTCTTTAAGTAAGTTATAGAGAGCGCCTTTATATCTTTCTTAAGAGTAGTTAAGTTACTTATAGTAACTTTAGCGTAAAAGTTCTATAACTTAGCTAGCTTAATATATTTTAGCTAGAGTATTCTCTAAGTATATAAGCATTATAGCTTTTAGTCTAGAATAGCCTTTTCTATACTAATCTATATCTCTTTAGAAGTAAGAACGTAATTCTGTAGTAACTATAGTAAAATTAAGTTATTACTCTTTTTATTATCTATCTTATATATAGAAGTTATTAGCTTAAGTACTTTCTTCTTAATAGAGGTTAGTACTAATAGACCTGTAGCTAATACTACTACGTTAGATAGTTTTATATTATTATTAATATTTATTAGTATATAGCTATTACTATAAGTATTATAAGTAGATATTATATAACATAGGCGTATTATAAAGTAAATAATTTAAATATTAGATAAGTAACTACTAATTAATATAGAATATAAGAAATAGCAGAGTAATAGTATATTATCTAGTAAGAATAGACAAATTATTACCTTCTAGGTAATAATTCTCTAGATCTACTTATACTTGCACTAGGTTAGGTTACATAACGTTGTCTAACTGTCTAGACTACAGGTTCCTAACACTTTAGTAGATTCTAGTTACTATATCTATTTATCTTAAAATATAGAGCAACCTACTACTAGACTATAAAGAATAGTTTAGTATTAATAAATATAAACTATAACTTCTTATCTCTAAGAAACTTCTAGTCTATTACTAGCTTATATTTAATTATTACCTTCTAAGCTTAAAAGTATACTTTATTACTTCTAAAGCGCTTCTCTATCTAAAAAGACCTATACTTATCTATATATATAAGTAGAGAAGAAAAGAGAAATAAAAAGTCTATAATAGCGCTAAAGCTACTAATAAGCGCCTCTATAGTAGAGGTAGCGCTCTTTTTTTATAGCGTATTATTAAAGAAAAGTATAGTAGAAATCTACGTACTTAAAGTCTTAAAGCGCTAAGTAAAATATTTATTCTAAACTTAGAGTGTCTAGAATAAGGCGTAGTCTTTTATATAGTTTTAGGCTATTTAGTATAGTTAGCTTAGAATTACTTATAGAGTAGCGTTTTTAGCTATTTTTATTTCTTAAGCCTAGCTAGTTTATCTCTAGACTTATATATAGTATATAAGAAAGAAGCTTTATAAATATTATAAACTAGTCTTAGAGTTAGAATATACTAAGTATTAATAGAATATTATAAGGCTTAGAGCTTAAGAAGCTATATACTAAATCTAGAGGTTTATATAGTAAGTCTAGACCTTACCTATACCTTCTCTATTTTAGCCTAGACTTAGGTAAAGCCTAAGACTATTATAGATATAGAGCTTTTACGTAACTTAAAGATATATACTTACTATATAGATACCTAATAAGGTAAGTACTTACTATATTTTATATAAGTCCTGCTAATGTCTTAGAACTTATACTAGTAGCCTAGGCCTTTATCTAAAATAAGCAGGTAATAGTATATAAGCTACTAATAAGAATAACACTCTCTATATACTAGCCTACTCTAGAAGAGTTAGCTTTTATATATTAGGTGTCTTTTTCTAGCAACGTTAAATAATAGATAAGAATAAACTATATGCTCGCTCTATATAACGTGCAGGTACTAATATAGATAGATATATAAGGCTTAAAGAACAGCACTAAGAATGCAACTTTAGATAGATAATAGATAATAGAACGTATAAATATTTGTATTGTAGATAAAGCGTTTAGAGCGTGTGTGACGTGTATGCGGAGGTCGTCGATGTCTCGGAGTCGCAGGTGGACGAGGGCGCCGAGTTTCCTTTCACATCTGCGGACGAGCTCAGCGACGATGACTAAGAAGCTGTAAGATATACTAAGTATGTGGCTACCTGGGTGGGATTTTTGCGATAAGTCGTGGTGTGTCTCACGGCCAGTAGTTCGTCGTGGCGCGACCATAGAACTTTGGTTTTGTAGGCCCCATGAATTTGAGCCAGATTTACTATTAGGCTGCCAGAATCTACTCGGGCGAATGACAGTGATTAGATATCTAAAAGGTACGGGCTGTGGCTTAGTGCGAACGTCTACCACGGTTTTCTACGAGGCGCAGCTGCGCACCTCTTTCATAAAATAACTTGCATTCTCAATTTGTTTTCCTTTCCTTCATACCACTTCCAAACTCTTACTCGGATTTTCCGAAATATATCCACAGCACACACAGCCATGGACAACGAAAAGGACACCCTCCCGGCCTACACTAGGTTCTCAACCCCAAAGCTATCATGGCGCGTTCCTCCTACCAGCATGCGAACACCAGAACAGCAATTCGAGTTGGACCTCGAGGCCGTGAAGAATGACGGTGAGCTCGCAAGGATTCAGGCAGAGTCCGACGAAGAGACGAGACGGATTAAGTTGGACCTCGTCTTCCTTACCATCAAACTCCTCATCTTCACTGTCGCGGCAGTGTATATCCTTGGGTTTGTTTCAGAAGTACTCGCTACCCGCGCGTCAGAAGTCAAGGCGGTGGTGAAGGCTACTCCAGCTGCAAAGGTATGTCTTGGTTTGCAAAGGTGCCTTTTGTTTAAGATACTGATACCTTCGTAGTATTGTTTCCCAGAAGGGAAGTGCTATACGCAAGAAGAAATAGCATCTTTCGTCGATGATTATTTCTCTGAACACAGGGAGGAGATTGATGAAAAGATTGACCAGGCGACCAGACAAGCCATGGGTTTGTAGGCCGTCTCAATTCACGTTGTCGCACCGCGCATGCGTCAACGAACGCATTGTACTCCAGATGAGAGGACGTGAAGCCGCATTCGCGCCTTCAATTCAAGGTCGTTTTGCCATTCGGGTGTCCGTGGCGCGGAGGGCTTTGGTATCCATGACTGTCTTAGAGTAGTGGGTGACATTCTGCGGTGAATGATGATGGAAAGCGATGGAGGAAAGAGTAACGTGGCTGCGCTGTTGATACTCGCTTTTCTTTCGGAGGGGTTATGGTGACTGCGAGTAGACGGAGGAGTTGATCGCGTTTGGTTCAATGGCTACCTTTGTTCTTGCTTCAAGCCAAAAGTCTCATAGTTCACAGGAAGGACAACTCAACGAAATAGTCAAAGGAACTGGCCACACCACTGTCAGCGCCTCTATCAGCCTTACCTAGTAATGGTGTTGGCGGTCGGAAGCTGACTTCGTGCTGAAAGTAAATACAACCAATTCACATCAGCATGTTCGTTTATGTCTAAATAATGGGTGTCAATGTGTTTGTAGGTCAAGGAGACTTTGCTGCATACAGTCTACTAGATTTTGATAAGTAGGTAGTCTCTGAGATGATGTAGACTTCTAGCTTTTAAAAGTATCCGTCTAGGATGCGATGGTAATTGCAGCCACCGCTAGTGACGTCCGCGGAACCAACCACTTCACTTGTCAGCGAGGCATCAGGAATTACAGTCGAGCCCACCACTCAGGAGCCCCTAATATCCCGGCGAAGCAATCTGACGGAGTGATGCAGGGAAGGATACCTACGAAATACCCAAGGAGTACACTATAGAAGGAGGATTCCCTCGCTTAGTTTAGTCGGATTATTTAGTAGGTTAGTTTAGTAGGTTGTTTAGCTAGATATTTTGTTAAGATAACCGCGGAGCTGTTAGTGTGAAGAATGATTTATTCCTAGTATACACATCTTCCCTTTACGCGTACTGCATGCAAGCTCTTCCGGCATGCTCTTTATGGCTCGACGAAGAGCCATGTACTATCTCATGAGCTGCACATTGGCCCTTCCAGGGCTGTCAAATCCCGTGATGTTGTCTTTGGTAGGACAAGAGATTGGTGGCCTTGGCAGATAGCATCCCTCGCGCACCGCGCAGGCATGTCTTCCCATGCACATATATTCTGAACAACTATTACCCCGACTGTGCACATGTTCCAACTATTTGCCGGCTCCGACTTGGCGATGCATCAAGTTTACTAAGCTACATGCTTAAGTCCGACACATCGTGTAAGCTCAGTCATCTTTTTTGTGCCCTGCCAAGACAATCGAGTAGCGGAATAGGAAAGAGTAGTAAAGGAACAGCGCTTCGAGCCAAGAAGGCGTATGAGACCTAATGCATGGCATTCAAGATATCGACGACTGCGGGAATGTGAAGATAGATAAAGCTGCGCATGTTGACGGTGTTGTGGTCATCTACGGCGGATCTGTCTACCCTGCAGTATGAAGCTCGCTACCATCATCAGCGCTGTTGCATTCGCTATACCACAGCTTACGTTCGCGCAATTGTCGAACTTCGATGATTGGGAACATGAGCGCATTCAGCTTGACGACGTCTCGATCCACTTCCGCTACCACGGCGAAGGACCGCCCGTCCTGCTCGTGCACGGCTTCCCCCAGCACTCGTTGACATGGCATACCATTGGGCCCATCCTAGCGCAGAATTGTGTGTTTCCGATCATCTTCCGTCGCTAAAAATCCCCAGGCTGACGTGAAAGCAGACACGGTGATCGCCCCAGATATCCGCGGATGCGGAGTTTCGTCCATCCCCACTTCGAAGAACTACACTGCTGCAGCCGCGGGTGCAGATCTCAAAGCCATTCTAGATTACCTCAACATCTCATCCACATACGTCTTCGCGCACGACAAAGGTGTTGGACTAGCGACATCTCTCGCTATCGAATATCCGTCGCTTGTGAAAGCTATTATCCTCGCTGAATACGTTCTCCCCGGCTACGGCTACCCTTTGACCGTTCAGAGTCCCAGCTTGTACCAGAACTGGCAGCTCGCGTTCTTTGCCGTGCCCGATGCAGCCGAATTCTTCATTCGAGATCGCGAGAAACAGATGTTGAGCTGGTAATTCTTTCACGCGAGTTATTCCGGTACGGCGGCGGTGAGTGAAGACCATCTGCAGCGGTATACGAATGAGATCTCGAAACCGGGATTTCTGAGGAGCGGTATGGAATACTTCGCGGCGGCGTGGGAGGATGAAGCGTACTTTACTTCCGTGTTTAGCAGTGGGCATAGGTTGCAGATGCCGTTGTTGGCATTGGGTGGTGAGGCGAGCTTTGGGCCTGTGTCGCTCTTGGAAGAAGTTTGGTTGCAGGTTGGCGATGATGTTGTCGCTGAGTTAATTCCAAAGGCTGGGCACTGGATTGGTAAGATCAATTCCTTGGATGGCGTCTTAGCTATCGCAGAAAAGCTCACAACGGTGTAGGCGACGAGAATCCAAGCTGGACTGGTAATCGCGCCTTGCGCTTCTTCGAGGCAGCCGGGGAGGTGAGCAGCATTGATCTGTCTTACCTCAAAGACCTAGTGACTCTACAAGGTGGTACCATCTGATGGGAGGCGGGCGTAATATCTCGAGATCGCGATATGTCATACGAAGAGTTGAAAGAACAGGTAGAGGAATTGTTGGGTATCGCGCTGAGGTGGCATTGATATCATGTGCTAGGACTTCCTTCGAGCCCACTACGACGGCGGAAGTCTTGTAACCAGTTCGGGTTGTCTGCTACTGTTTGGTTCCACTATCGTAGATATCAGCATTTGTCTGGTATATGATGGGTCGTTTCGCTTCCTCACCGCATCATCCGCATCCTGATATAACAATCTTCTCGACTCGCGTTGAAACATCTCATCCGTCGGTATAATACCCGACAACATCTGCTGTCTCGCAAAGCGACTAAGATGGCGCGTCAAAACCTTCGCAAAGTCATAATCGTGCTGCGTAGAAAGGTTTCGGAGAGCTTCCAAAGAGTCTTCAAAAGCTTGATGGTCCGGTGTCTGGGTGACCTCTTTCGGAGACTCTTGGACTGGCTCTTCTTCCCGTTGATATTCTTCGCGTTGGATCTGCGAAATCATTTGCTTTGTATGATCGATGGATCCGGGATTCGTAGCAGAGAAGGGTACTACAGTCTTCGCTTGTTCGGCAAGTAGGTAGGGTGGAAACGCGTTTATGACACGGGCAGCGACAGCGGGTTCGAAATCGTGATCGCCTTTCCAATCGGCCATGGTTTTGCCCTCTTTGAAATGTGCGGCGAGATGATCTGCTCTCTCATCCCAGCTACTCAAATTGGTATTACATATACCACAGCGGCATTTTACTGGCAGAGTCTCAAGTTTCCAGTCGTCGATGAGAGGTAGTGTTTCGAGCCCGTGGACTAGACGAAGGTGTTGTGTGAGATGATCTTTGCGGTGGAAGATACGCGGGCTGTTGTTGCCGTCCGTGCATGCCGCGTGATTATGTTTCTGCAGATGCTGGGGTGTTGGATCTAGTGCACTACAGTAGGCGCAGTGTACTCTACCCGTAAGAGGTAGCACCACAGAAGCTCCGTGCGGCGTGCACATCCAACTTTCGAGGTTTAGATGCAGCGATATCTCGTGTCGCTTCCAGTCGTACTTGTGCTTGAAGGTGTCGCAGCAGAAGGTACACTTGAATATACGATCCGGGTCCAGCATATTGCCCCTGACTCTTCCTTTGCTTCTTGTCTTGGCTTGACTGCGACGCTTCGATTGTGACGTGGCGGAGCGGCTCGAATTCGCGGATCGTAATGAGGATTCGCTTGCAGCGCTATCCAGACTGGTGGTAGAGGAAGGGCCGCGATACTTGCGGAATGCGTCGCCGCTGGAAGGCCGACTGATACGTGGTGAGTGGCCTATAGGTCTGTCCTCCAAGGCATGGTAGATGGCCGACAGAGATGCGGCCTCGTCTTCAGGCGGCGAGTTCCGCCAGCGCTGAATGGCCAGTGACTGACCCTCTTCGTGTCGAGGACTTCCACTCGGTATCACCATCGGGCTGACAGTGCCCGTTGACCTTCGCTTAAAGTACTTGCTTCGACGGCGAGGGAGCGTGTGATGACGCTGCGGCTGTGGGCGCTCGTGAAACTCAGTCGGCTGGTACGCGTCGAATGGATAACTTGGCGAAGTCATACCACTCAGCGGTTGTAACGTATCAGCTAACGTAAAGTCGTGGAAGTTCGGGTCGATTGCCAAGTCGTCGTCGATGCTGAATGCGGCAGGAGCATCAGGTGCAGCGTTAGTCGCATCCTGGCCGACATCTGTAGCGAGGAAGTTGTCGAACCATGAAGGGTCGATCGTATCTTCGTTCCATGATTGGAAGTTCCAGTCGTTCACTTGTTGATGATCCATGGCTCCAGAGGTCGCGAGTGTTGTTTTGGCGATGACGAAGATGGCTGGAAATGGCTGTAGGATGAAGGCGTCAGCCCGAAGTCGGCGCCGCTACCGATGCAACCTTTACCAAGTGATCGCGTATAGATCTAGGTTAGCAAGCGAATGCAGTACACCGCAAAGAACCTCGGGCTGTCTCTGGCCGACTGCTGGATATTGCGAGGCATGCAAGGCGTAGGGCGTGAGGTGGGGCGAACTTCAGAACGCGCTAGCCCCGCGATCTAGACAATTCTTCCCTCTAGCGCAACAGGACCGGACATTCACGACGCGACATAACGTGACTTGCAACACGATGGAAGCTGAAAACGACAAAGCTCTCGCTGAGCAACACGAGCAAGTCCTAGAAGGTGTTTTCGGTAGGTGATCTCATCGTCTCCCGCCCGCACCTTGTTACTAACTCTATATAGCCGTAGTAAAGCCTGCGAATGTCTCTTCAGCAGAGGTACTTCTCAAACTCCAGTCTACATTCAGTCATTCAGATACCTTCGCGCCACTGCGCAAACACCAGCCCAAACGTACCAGCAAATCCTCCGACCAAGTATTCCGCCTAGGTCATGGCGGCACGCTCGATCCCCTGGCCTCCGGCGTGCTCATCGTAGGCATCGGACGTGGCACAAGATCGCTCTCACAGTACCTAGCATGTGACAAAAGCTACGACACCACCATTCTATTCGGTATGAGTACCGACAGCTACGACTGTACTGGAACTATGAGGACAAGAGCAGACGCCTCGCACGTGACTCGTCAGCTTGTCGAGGAACAGTTGCCCAACTTTCTCGGGACGATTCAGCAAGTTCCACCCGTGTACTCTGCACTGAAGATCAACGGCATCAAGGCTTGCGAGTATGTGCGGCAGGGCAAGGAGTTGCCTCACGCTTTGGAAAGTAGGGAGATGCAAGTGAAGAGGTGTGATTTACTGGAATGGTATGATGCGGGACAGCATGACTTCGCCTTCCCCGGCGAGGAGAAACCGGCTCCAACACCTGCGGCACGGATTAGATTGACGGTATGTTCTGGCTTCTACGTTCGCAGCTTTGCGCACGATCTGGGTGTCGCTTGCGGTACCGTTTCGCACATGGCCGCGCTGAAGCGCGAAGTGCAAGCCAATTTCGTGCTCCAGCCTTCTCCGTTTCCGGAGGACACCGCTGCGATCCCGTATGGTGATTTGGATGCTGGTGAATCTGTCTGGGGTCCGAAGCTCAGACCACAGCTCGAGGAGTGGGTCGCGGCCAATCCAGTTAACCAAGGTCATGTCAACGGGCGAGAAGGAAGCACCAAGAGGAAGATGGCACAAGAGGGTGAAGCAAAGCCCAGACAGAGATTCCGAGGCGAATGGGTCGCTGAAACGAAGAAAGAGAGAATCAAGCAGCAAGGTGGCAAGTACAAGGGGAAATGGGGACGGAAGCCCGAGGTTGAAGCAGCTATAAGGCATTTTACGCAGGATATCAGTAAGTATCAATGATACAGCGGCGCCCCATAACTCCTCAGCAAACCCAACCACTCCGAACTCCTATCCGTCAACTCGCAGCACTCGAGCATAGTCCATGTTCCCAACTCGCCGCACGGCTGCGCCTTGCTGTTCAAGACCAAACTCCTGCCATCCACCACGCCGTTCTGGAGTAACTTCTCCATACCGATGTAGTTGTCTTTCCGAATCGCCGACAGAATCGCCGAAAGCCTGGGTCGCTGCAACGCATATCCAACATCCCATTGGACCACCATATCGATGAGCTCAAGATACTGGGTTTGAATTTCCTGTTTGGTGGGGGGAGTGCAGTGCAGCAGCATGTCGTATATGGGTGGTAGAGCGGCAATTTGTTCGCGCAGGGCTGCTGCGGAGATGGCGTTCAGAAGGACGCGCACAGCGTTTTTATTGGTGCCTTTTATGGCGTAGCTCAAGGCGTCGTATGTTAGTTCTGGGGCGAGGCCGATCATCTCTTCGAGCATTGTGGTGTTCGTCGGACTGTCTTGGTACGCGGCAAATTGCAGAACATTCATGTCTTCGAAAGCTGGGTCGCGGGGATGTGCTCCTGCTCTGAGAAGCACACGCGCTGTTTCTAGCGAGTCGAGTGAGAGGGCAGTGGCGAGTGGTAGCGCTTTGGTCTCTTTCTTCTTTCGTCGGAAGAACAGTTCCTCTCGTACCAAACTGCCTTTGGTCTGCAAGATGAGTTCGACCGCCTGTGCAGCGTCTGCTGAAATCGCACGGCTTAGCGCTGCTCTTGGGCCCAGATCTGTAGCTGTCCGTTGCGTGAGACATAAATTGAAGCCTCTGTCAATCAGCAGCTTTAGTATGCGGAGTGCGTCTTCCGGTCGCTTCTCCCAGGTTTCTTTCGTCAATGCATTGATTGGTGATACGAGTCTTGTAAGCTTTTCCTGATGCAGCAAGACATCGTCTTCTTTCTCGTAGTCTCTTGGCATTCCTTTCATGCTCAGCATCTCTTCCACAGCATCTGCCCATCCAGCGCGTACGAAGCAAGACAAAACGGAGTACTCATACGTCGTTTGCCACGGGCGATGCGCGGGCCCTGCAGTCTGTACTTCGCTTTTATTGTCGAATGCTCCGGCAACGCAAGCTGTGGGGTCGAAGTTTTGATGTTGCATGACGAGTTTCAGGGTACTCATACCACGATCGACATTCTTCCATTTCGATAGACCATCAAGGAAGCTGGTCTTCGTAACGCGAACCTGTACTTCGTTCCAATAATGCTGCGCGTCATACATCTCTCTTGGCCACTGCTCGACCATTGGATTTGCGCCATGATATACAAGACAATCGATGAGGTCTGCATGTCCCTTGTAGGCAGCCGCCATGAGCGCGCGATCCATTGGAGTGTAGTCTTCTCTTTTCGTTGCGTCTCCGTAAATGGCACCCTCTCTCAAGAGATGGTCGACCACTCTGGCTCGTCCGTTCATGGTAGCTTTCGCCAAGGCTTCGTGCTTTACCTTCTTCAATTTACCAGTTGATCGATAAATAGGGTCCGCTCCCATACTGATGACTGCTTTGACCAGTGAAAGACTACCCTCTGCAGCGACTTCTTCGAGAATATCGGTCAGGTCGTTTTGTGATGGGCTACTAGCTGGGTTAGGCGTAGTAGCCGCTCTTTTGAGTAAGAAGCTCTTCTTGAACGGAGATGCACCCTTCCGATCTGACGGCGGCTCCTTTCTGCTTAGTCTGCGCATTATCTCAGCTCGAGCATCGCTGGCACTCAATTCGGGTGCCTCGTCGATGCTTTGCGTGGTTGATATAGAGATATTCCTTCGTGATGACTGGTTTAGACCACCAGGTAAATCTGGCAGTGCTGATGAGCCCATGCTAGAGTTGCGATTACCATTCATGATGTAGGCAGTGCTCACGCGCTCAGAGATGCCATGTACGACCTTCAGTGGCTGTGGTGTCGAAGTGGAAGGCGAAAGATGATCAAAAGCGATATACATGGATTGCATCCTGTCTGACACACCATCTTCGGTGCTATCGCTGCTTCCCCAAGACATCGGAGGAGTAGGGGGGACTGTTGATGCATGTTCTAGGAATCGTAAAGGCTGTGGTGGAGAAGACTTCGACGCGCGTTGTGGGAACTCTGGCCGAATAGCTTGCGAGTCTTCGCTTCTGGGAGGTCGGGGAATATCATCGGTTGGGGGCTCGGAAAAGGGTTCCATTTGAGGGTTATGGGATAGTAGTGGTTCTTCGCGAAGTGGTGAGAAGACGTTGCCAGACTTAAGAGATATGCCATCGGCTGTGAGTGGCTGCATAGCGATACTGCCCCCAGCCCCAGTAATGGAAGAAGCCAAAGGAAGACTTGCTGCCTCTTCCCGCTTTTGCGGCACCTTGCGAGTATGGTTCAGATAAGTGACATTCTCGTCAGCCTTCCCTGTTATTGTTGGAGATATCGACGGGTGGGGCGCAAGGTATTCGAATGATGGTCCGCCGTAGAAGTTGCCGTATTCAGCAAAGCCGTCTGCATATCGCTGCTCTTCTTGCTGCACCGCCATTGTTTCTTAAGCTCTTGTTCGAAATTGATGTAGCTGCATTGGCTGCGATGAAGCGCTGCCAGGTGGTGAGAGATGTTAAGAGAGCGCGGGGTAAAAGTGTTCCCGGCATTGATGTTTGATTGCTTGTCAGCATGCTTTAATCCAGCCTTGTCACTAAAAGTGACATTTCAGGCGTTCATTACTACCGGGTGGAAGACTGGCTTCCGAGACCCTGACAAAGGTGCAAGCGGGCTGTGGTGCCGGCGCACGGAAAGCCGTCCAACACAGGGATCATGTCCGCAAGGGGGCGTTCATCGCAGCCTCTGAGGGACGTTGGCTGGTAATGAGTTGAGCATACGGTACGGGCGAATGATGTTCGTGAGCGCAGCACGTGGGCGAAGAGCTTCGGGACATCCCCAATTCAGCTGCCGTCTGCTTAAACCAGGTGTCGCATCAATGTTCTGTTTCGCCGCTCCTCGTTGGTGAACTTCCCTCTTGTCGTGCGGAGCATTGTCAACATGCCGTAGCGCCGATATGAATAGTGATCGGTGGGTGTTTCTTTGTTCTCAGGTTGCCAAGCTAGGAGTGCCTCAGCCCTGCATGGAGAACCGAGATTCCAAAGGCGACATCCACCACGCTTATCTCGATCGTTCAGATGCCATAGCCGCGAACATTCTGTCATCAGAACATTCCAAGTCACTTCTGGGTCGTTGATTGCTTACCTATCCTCCAACAACGCGTTCTTTTCCACCATTTCAGCGCGCAGTGAAGATGAATCTTGCCAATGTTGGTCTGAAGGACTATCTGGTCATTGGGTCTCTCACCGGGCTTTTGCGAACGACGTCGATGCAAATTACCGGCTACAAGCAGAGGGATCTCACATACTCTCAGTCTTACGGGACGTGGGCGAGCGCGAGCCTCATTGCTATTGTCGTATACACCATTGCGGTGCGGCTGCTAAGGAGACCGGCATTGTAGGAGGGTCGGACCAAGTAGCAGGAAGCAACGAAGCGGCGAGGCAGCCACGACAAGGGCGTCTCGGGGGCGGCTCAGTTCTGAGGCAGTGATGATATATCGGCGATGGGAGCCTCAGTGATATTGTACACGCTGGATGCCCTATGATGGTCCCTTCCGCTAAGGCGGGATGAATCGGGACGAGGGCACGGGTGAAGTTACTCAGCAAGGAGCTTTGACCAGGTCTTTCGTGCGTGCCGTCATCACCAAAGCCATGCCAGCAATGCCGTCCATAATCTCCAGAACACCACAACCACCGCCATCTTTCCTGTATCGCATCGAAGGTCTTCTATCGGCTCCCATGGTCGAAAAGAGCTACTTTTGAACTGTTCGGATCCTCTTGATGACATCAGCCCGTCGTCATCTTAAGCTAGGAAGCTGCGATGGCCTGCATTGCGTGACGGGCTGGGTTGGACCGCTTTCTACTATATCCTGCTCTTACATCGCGACAATACCTGGATCTTGTCTTGTCCCTCAGGAGGATATACGAGCGTCAGCATGTTGCGCTCCCCTCTCAAGGCGGTTTACCGGAATGACGCAATCAAGAGTCGCGCATGATGTTCTTGACTTTTTCGAGATATCTTGTGTTAAACAATCCTGCGCTCAATACTAAGCTCATTTATCTGGAAATCTATAAGCCTATTGACATTATCTAGATATCAAAGTGGCACAGCTGGCCCTACTGTATAAGGTTTGCTGGTGTCGCGTCATTCCCTTCTAGCGCAGAGCCCCTGAAGGGTCGGAGCATGGCTGCGACGCCAGACGCTGATTTTGCCAAGGGTACTGTACCCTCGACCTCAGATCCAGTTCATCTCCGCGAGTCCGTTGCTCCACTCCACAGAGATCTGTAGATCAGTGCGCGATAACTGTGGAATCTAGGGTCGGGGCGTTTAGACAAACAAGGCATCCACCATGGCGCTATGGAACGCCTTCGATCGCAAAATTAAGACATTTAGCCTACGGCGTGTCAGACGCCCACGCATGTTCCCAGTCGCTTCATGAGTGAAGAAGGACCGACGACGTCGAGGGAAAGTTGACCGCGACCACTCCGAGGGATTGCACGCTGATCGGAGACAACCCCGCGAAATCGCCAAGTCGTTGGACCGCTATCTAACCCTGGTGCGAGTCAAGCCTGCGTCGTCCATCGCCACGAGGCCGTCTCAACGCAAAACTGGACCGGCTGGGCAGAAGCCACGAGGATATCCCAAAAAAAAACTCTGTAGCGTGCGGTAGCTCCGCGACAAGCTCAACCAAGGACACTGAAAGACTCAAGCACTTCGTGACGGCGCCCGTACTTAGCTTACCACGTTCTCTGTGCCATCGAGAAGTCCGATTCGCGGCTCAGACGTTCTCGAGCTGCTGCGGCTTCTTCTAGTGTTGTGTTGGTATGGTACTGGTGTTTCATTGTTTGCTCAGCTCCCTCTGTCAGGTCCGTGGATGCATGATGCCTGCCCGACGACAGAGACTGAACAACTCGCGGCAAGATTAAGATAAATTATGAACGGGACGGGGAATGTTCCCGCCCACGTCCGAGACGCCGCGCCATAAGAGTGAAGCATTTTGATACCTGCTATATATCTTGCGCGTACAAACGTCGCGAGAACCTCATGACGTTCTGGCAACGTCGTCACGTCAGTGCGAAACTCGTATTCGCAGAAACCCAAAGCTTCTCTTGCCCGTTAAGCAAAAGGAAAAAAAGGGTTCATCTCATCCGCAGTGCCCGCGGAGCCGGTTGATCGACTACAGATCAGCACGGGACAGACGCTACCAGCCGCCTGGAACTATGCGACTCATGATTCCGACGTGTAGCACGACAAGCCGGATCATACCACTCCCTTCTTAACCTACCCTGACCCTAGGCTTCGCGCTGCCCGCTATATGCAGGTGTCAAGATGTCAAACAACCCCAAGTAGAGTTCGCACTTGACATCACTCACCACCTCTCTCCATCTGACCCCATCGGGGCGAACTTAAACTCCACCGGCCACACATACTGTGTGTGTTTGCTGCCGCGATGGAGATAGTCACGTCTATCGTAAGAACTACGCGAGTCCGAATGATTTGAAGTCTCACTCACAATCCACAGGTTATCCAGGGAATACTCCTCGTGTTGGCACTGGCTGTTACGATCCTAAGATGTTGGGTTCGTCTGTGTATGGAGCACCGCTCACTCACTCTCCCCGACTACCTCGTATGGGGAGGATTCATCTGTGCGCTCGGATGGTTCGCTTGCTCCACGAGAGCGCTTTACATCTTGATTGATCATCCTCTGGACGAGGAGACAAGGAGCGATTCTGTCGAATACCTGAAGGTACGCCAACAACATGATCTTCAACATACGCAATGAGACAAGTGAGCTGACGGATGTTTGCTGCTAGGTCGTCTTCGTGTCTATCTACTTCTTCGACACGGGGTTGTACTTCCCCAAAGTCTCGCTGGTGGCTTTCTACTGGTGGTTGATCCCGCAAGGCTTCAGGCGTCTCCGGTATGCAGTCTATGCCACTACTGCAATCGTGGTAGCCTGCTTCGTTGCGAGCATACTGTGCGACACTCTCCTTGCGCCTAACATCTCCGACAACTGGTGCGACTTCTACCCTTACTTCGATCAAGTTGTTCTTTGGCTAACATGCACTCTCCAAAAGGTCTATCGAGAACCAGCTCAACTCAACATGGAATACTTACTCCAACTTGGTCGTCAACTGGACACTCAACTTCGGCACTGATCTGCTGCGTGAGTAGTCCAGAAGCCACTTGCTCGAACATCAGCTAATGCGCTCTCTTCTTAGTATTCGGACTACCATTTTTCATTTTCAACTGTTTGAAGCTCCGTAGAAGACAGAAGATCGGCCTAGTTGGAATCTTCTCTCTAGGCGCTATCACCATGGCAATCAGTCTCGCCCGCTTCATCGTTTACAACATGGACTACGACATCGCCGATGCCGACGGCAGTAAGTGATGCTTCCATTCCCGAAATTCCCCAAGCTCTTACTAACAACCCCCTCAGATCTCTGGTGCACGGCCGAAATGTGCACAGCCGTCATCGTCGTCTCGCTCCCGTCCTTAAAGGCCCTCATCATCAAACCCACACCCGCCACCTCATCCAACCGCAGCAACTCAGGCTACCTGCAAGCTGGCTCTGGCAAAACGATTGGCAGCAAGGGTATCAACTTCAACGGGCACAGCTCGAATATTCAGGGCGGCACTATGGACGATGAAATGGAGTTGACTTTTCTGGACCGAAAGGCTAGCCCTACACCAACTGGAACCACTGATGGGTCACGCTTGCAAGATGGGAAAGATAATGTGATGGTGACTACAGATTTCGAGGTCACCAGTACGAGGAATGTGTTTTAGATTGGTGTGTCAGTAATCCTGGAGATAGAATGAAATGATAGTAATGACTACTCGTCTACTGTCTTCACAGCGAAGACAGTCCGCTCAATCCCCTGCTCCAATCCCTCGGGAACTAACCGTACCGAGATACTCGAAACCGCATTTTCAGAATCGAACGCTCTGGGACAGATCGAGTCTTCTGCACAGTTACCACATTGTACCTGTCGCGATAGACTGCACGCGATCAGGATATCGGTATTATAGTACCGAGAAGCCCTTGATCTCTTCCCTAGTGAGCATGGTCGGGCCCTAAGTCATTCTAGCAATGTAGGCGTAACATTGTTGTGGAATAGCATGTGACGTCAAGTCGCGAAGCCGGACTCGAGAACTAGCCATGTAGCACACGCGGCCTTTAGCATATATGCACCGCCGTCTAAATATACAAGCTCGCGATCATCTAGCACCGAGACGACATATATCGCGCATCACGAGCGTATCACGAACATAAGACATGACAGTGTTATAGGAGGCAGGCACAATCGCAGTCCTGTCGCAAACGTCCGTGCGGTCATAACGGCAATGAGGAGGCGGTGCATCCCTCCCACTCCGCCCAACCACATCGCCCACCTGACCCCCGACCCACACACCCGCCGTCATCCAACACCGACTTCATCGTTTCCTCATCGCTAGTCGCACGCCTGCCCTTGACGCCGTCCTGAACGCTTTACCCCGACCAGCGAGCCTCCCCCCCATTCGCGCCTTCCTACGACCACCCGCTGCGCGACGCCTCGGACGTATCGCATGCCACCGATATGAAGCCCAGTAGCCGCCTCGTTCCCGTGTCTACACTGCTTTTGCTGTCGGCATGGACAGGCGCAGTCCTAGCCGACGATACCATCTCAGCGACAAAGATCAAGGTGCAGCTCTTCGCCGCCCCCTCGTTTCTGAGCGAAGTTAGTGTCGACGCGTATAATAACCAGTGTCTCTCGCTGGATAACAATCTGTATGTCGCGCACACCCGTCGCTTTCGCGTATCATTGGGGGAGAAGTGCTAACGCAAGGGATATAGCATCGACGGGCGCGTGCAAAGTATTCTGGTAGGCGGACACAATGTCGAGTCTGTGTTGGCAAGGGATGATTACTGGAGCTGTCGGTTTTATGAGTAAGTCTGCTGTGCTGCGTCGGGTCTTTGAGGGCCGCAGCTAACGTTACCGCAGTAATTACGACTGCAGCGGCGACGAAAACATGGACCAGTTTCTTGCTATTGCCGATGGCGCGAATAACCTCGGGAGTGTTGGTTGGGGGACAAAGATACATGGGTTGAAGTGCAGTAATAAGGAGCACGAGGACGACTGAATGGGCGAAGAACAGTGGCAAGAGAGGGATATATGTTGCGTCACATACGTCGAGCGATGTTCGATCCAGACAGCAACACTCGTTGCGCGACGACACAACCCACATTACGGATGCGAACGATACACCTCCGCCGCGGACACTGGGACACGCCCAGGAAGGTCAGAAGCACATCAGACCGACGGTGCAGGTCGTATGGCGCGAGTTGGTCAAGCACACAAGCAGAGAGGGCAATGGGTATATACCAAGGGCATGGTTCATGCAACATAGCGTTGGCATTGGCGTTTACATTGGGTTCTGCATCTACATGCGATGGGAGATGGCACCGGCGTTCGAAGTGCTCGACGCCCACTTAGTGCTGTATCAGTACCGAATATGGATCAAGATAAATATAATGATTGTATCAAGCTTACGTCTTTGGTCATGAGTGGTTAGGACGGGCGTGTTGTACGTTGCTCGAGGGAAGTGGACATACTGAGTCACGCCTTCAATGAGATACATACGCTCTCTTTAGATATATAATCACTCATCCATTCATTCAATCATGCCATCATAAGCACCAGGGTATCTCCAGCGCAAAAACACATCCACAAAACGCCATGCCATGCAATGCTCCCAGTGCCCCCTCCCACCTACAAATCAATCAAATCCGGCGCCTCCCCACTGCCCACCCCCCTCAACAGCACAATCATATTCCCATTCTGGCACGGCTCCCCAATCTTTTCACTAAATTTGAGCAACCTCCCACCCTCCACATGGAAAACCCGCAACTTCTCCTCCTCGCCCCCACCCCGGTTATTCACATTCTGCACCTGCAGCGCCTTGGCCGCCATATCCAGTACACGTCCTACTGTCCATTCTTTATTGTAGAAGAATTTCCCCGTGGGGTATTTCGCTTTCGTTGTATCGGCCGAGGCTTCGACGTGTAGGTATATGCGTTTCTCGGCGGGGATGCTAGCTTCGCCTTTGGCGACGCGTTTGAGGGCGTTGAGTTCGGATTGCGCGGATGATGCGGTGGAGGAAGAGGATTTGCCTAGGCCGAGGAAACCGCCTGTTTTCTTGGATGAAGAGCGCCGTTTCTCATCATCTTTCTTCTTCTGCTCTGCCCATGCTTTCAGTCGCGTCAACGCGGTCTGCGTGCGTGCTTGGACGTAGTTCTGGGGCCGCGCGCCGAGGGGCGTCAGGGTCGAGCAGGCGTGGTCTTCTTCGAAGCGGTGTTTGAGGCAGTATCGTCGGTTGCAGCGGGGGCAGTGGACGCCTTGTGCGCGCGCGGTGTCTATGAAGGTCTTGCAGGAGGGGTCGGCGCATTGTGAGTCGTGGTTGTAGACGCTGGGTTTGGGGGCGGATGGAGTGGTGTTTTGGGCGGTTTTGGCTTTTTGACGTGCCCATTCGCCTTCTTTGGGGCATTTGTGCGCGTATTCGGTGCGGTGGTCGAGACAGAATTTCCTGGGGTGGAGTTGTTAGTATGGTGGTGTCCACGGGTGTCTTTGTGTAGGTACGCGTGAGACGCGTAGTCCTGTATGTGTTGAGTGCTTACCCGTGACAACTCTCGCAGCGGAATGGGAGGAAGTCTAGTACATTGCAGTATTCCATCTGGCAATGCGCTCCGATTGCTTCTAGGTCGCCCTTCATCTCGGTGTAGCTTGATTCGTTGGTTGCCATGGTTGTGGTAGAGGTGGGAATGATATATGTGTGTTACACCAAGTGAAGAAGATGCTAGAGAGCTAATATGGAGGCGACAGTGTGTAATAACGAAGCTGAGCAAGCATCAGAAGCCTCGAGAAGGCGGTTAGGCTACCAAGAGCTTACGATTGTCGCCGCGCCGTCTCGGAAGGCGATTCCGATGAATGTGGCGCTAACCGTGGATGATTGCTAGCGTCAGGGTCCAGCAGCTGCCATCCATCTGATCTGATCTACGCCTGCCTTCACTTTTACTTTCACCACATATCAGCAGCAATGTGACTAGCCAACAACTAATGTCAGCTCAGGCTCGGCATCTCTGATTACTTCGCGCTTGACATCTAGTATAACGACGAAGTTCTGATCTGAGTTCATCGCCTTGATCAACGGGTTGCAAGGCTGAAGCTCAGCCTCGCCAACGCCACGTATAAGATCATGCACGCATTCATGAGCTAAGTCAGCCGTGCTAATGCATATGAGCCCATTCCCCGCGGCTGACACTCACCCTTCTCATCGCAATTTCTCAGATGGCGGAGGTGGTGGGCGCCGTCGCCGCTGTTGTCCAGTTCGTGGACGTAGCTCTCCGCCTTTCCTCCTGTCTCGAACGCTTCTGCTCAGATGTGCGCAATGTGCCGCGGCGCTTTCTTCAGCTGCAAACCGACCTACGTCAGCAAATCGAAATCGCGCAACAGATCCAGAATCACCGCTTGCCTGGTTTCGCGACAGCAGTAGCGTCCTCGACGTTTGACACGCCTCTAGTTGAGTATATTGATCTCGCTGAGGAGTTGTGTAAGACACTAGAGATATTACTCTCCCGCAAGAATGATGGAGTGCTGCAACGAGGCTGGGATGCTATTTGCTCTGTCCGTAAGAAGGAAGAAGTGGCAAGCATATGCGATCGACTCGAACAGAAAAAGAGCACCCTCTCCTTATGGCTGGAAGCAGCGAATCTGTAAGCGCAGTTCCAAAATTGCAGAAGCTGCCTACCAGACCTGGTCACGACCGCTATACTGACTGAGATACAGCAAGCTAGCATCAAGTATCGCGGCGACTACAGACCAGACGCGGCTTGATGTTAGCGATACCCTGACGCTCGTCAAGATGGTCGACAATACGTCGAACAACATCGCGACAAACACAGCACAACTACTTCCTCACATCGAACAAGTCCATCGTACCCTCGCGACCACTTCCACCAGAACGGAACACATCTTACAAGATACCCAACGGCTCTTGGTAGACTATGAAGCGGACATGACATCACGGCAATCAAGTCGACAGATCACAGAAATGACTTTGGCAAATACAGAGCAGATCATCGCGGCCATCGAAAAATTGACTATGGGCCCTGACAAACACAGCCCACATGTGAACTCTGGCTACGCTACGGACCACATCCATGTCGGATCCTCGGTTTACCAACCCGTCCAGCGAAGCATAGTAAACCATGGTCGTAGACCTCAAAGATGCAAATGTCGTACTGTCGGTACTGTGCGTCGCTGGCAGCCATTGTCAATACTTCGGTTCACCCGGACGTTCCGAACACAACACTTCTCATACTGTTCGTACTACCAAGATTCGGAGCAAAGTCTCGAAATCACCATGCAACTCGTTCCTCCTTCCTGGCTTGTATCTCACACCATTGATGTGGGCACGCGGGTGCGGAACCGGTCGACCATGAGCTGCTTTTCGATTAGTCCAATCATCATAGGTACCAGCAGGCTCGTTGACCCGAATATGTCACCCGCATTTCGCGCCATTGCGAACACTAAAGAGGAGCTGTACAAAACCGGTCTACATCGCTTGCTTATTCCTCGACTTCAAACCACCCTGCAAGAGCTTTTCGACGAAAAAAAGGCCTCCGTTCTAGATACCGATAGCAATGGAAATACTCTCTTGAATGTAAGTTAGCCCATGTTCACACAGCATACAACATTGAGTTGATGTGTTCTATAGACGATCATATGGTTATATACCGCCTTCCCCTATATGATATCGCCGCCGGGCGATGAATATGATGTTCTCATTCAATTCTTGTTGGACATGGGTGCCGACCCTAACGTGATGAGAGCTCCGACGCGCGAAGACAGCCTTGAGTATCTAGGGAGCTGCCGAGGCACCACCTGTGACCAACTTGTACACCATGTCGTACCCAGTCTTTCAAGACACTATGGTCAATCACCACTGATTATGAAGATCCTTGAACGAATTCAAGACGCTGGTGGTCATTCGTCGAGACCCTACCTGTCTAATGTGCATCCAATCTATCGATCTAGGTGTTTTTCCCAGGAGGCCAAGCAACTGACCATATTCGAGGATCACATTGACAGTGCGTTTGCTTTCGTCTCATTAGATGCACCGATTTCACTAACATCTTCCAGTTTTAGATCTTGGGGAGCTTGTGCCAGTGATCCTGCAACAAAACGAGGACCAGTTTCGACGCCTTGTCCGAAAGGCTGAGCTCTCGGTTCTGAACCGTAAATCTCCGGTGAACGGCTTAGCTCCGGTCCATTTCGCGGTTATGTGGCCTACTGCACTTAGACTGCTAATGGAACGGGGTGTTAACGTGAATCACGAAGATACCTATGGTCGGCGGCCTATACATCTAGCCGTGGCACTAGGCCTCACTGAATCCGTATGTTGTTTACTAGGTGCAGATTGTACACTTTTCACCCCTTCGCACGACAACAGCTTAGTTCAACACGCACTGCATTTACATACTCCGCAAAGATCTCAAATACTCGACTTGCTTATTCCGGCGATGATCGAACGTCATATGCGGCTTATGGATCTAGCCAGGTCGCACTTGCCGCCATCCCTATTTTTAAAGCTCAATGTCTCGCCTGGGCAATTTCATGAACAAAAAGCACCTTCTATACTTCAGGTGCTTCTACCGAATGGAATTGAAGTCCCTGAAGCCCTGGAGCTTGACGGTGAGGGTTTCTATAACTTCTCGCATATGCACCGTTCGATCGAGCTAGCGCCTGCTACGGCGGATCTGTTTTGGAATGCTGGATTTCGCGAAATTGACACGCCCGACGACTGCGGCGTGACACCATTTCTCCAAAGCTGGTTTATGGCTAATTTTGCGATGGTAGGTTGGTTTATAGAAAGAGGAATCTCGATGCAATCACAACACAAAGATGCACCTCTAACCGCTCTTCATCTCTACGCCCACCGAATGCATTACGCCGGTGCTGTCCTCGGAGGCAATATCGATAAGGTACCTACCGACCTACATTATATGGAGGCGATCCAAGAAGAGTTGGGTATACCACACGACGATTGCATGTGCATATGCTCGCCCACAGGCTGTACACCGG